CTTCTTTCTGAAAGTTGGCAATCTCAAGGTTTCTCGTTGGTATGTCAGCGGGATTTTCAGTTCCTGGACAATGGTCCCAGAGATCTTGAGGAACAAGTTTGAGGATTTCTTGCACTCTTTTCTCTACAAACAGCTTCCATTCTTTGTCACGTCCTTTGATCCAATACATCGTTGTTATTGAGTCTGTCCAGCACCTCACAATTTTGGTAGTGAAATTAGAGCTTAAGGCTCCTTTTACTGTATTGATCAGACGTGCTAGGATCAATGCTGAGAGAAGTTCAAGTCGTGGAATTGTTAGCTTTGACAATGGTGCAACTCTGGATTTTGACATAACCAAGCAAGTCCTTGGACGTCCATTGACGGTTATTTTTGTATAAACAGCTGCAGCATATGCTTGCTCTGAGCTGTCACAAAACCCACATAGTTCGAGTTCTGTTGGTTTTTCATCTATGTCTCCGAAGTAGTATCGTGGAATAGATATGTCTCCCAGTTTTTTCATTTAAGACACAAGAAAGTTCCACTGATTTAATAAAATGTCTGGGAGTGCTTCGTCCCATTCAAGGTTTTCCACGAACCGACCAACTTTCAGTGGAGTAATTACAGGTGTTATTAAGCCGAGTGGATCGAAGATTTTTGTTATGAGCCCGAGGATTGCTCGTTTTGTCGGTGACATATCAGCTGCAGCTTCCAATAACTTGATTAAATTGAACTTTAACAAGTCCCGCTCACTGTCCCAAACGAGACCAAGTACTTTCGGCTCTTCACTCTCTATCATGTCGCATTGTTTCATGGATGCCTTTGCGAAAGACTGGTCATCTTCGATTGAGTTCGGTTTCTTAGGATTGATGTATGGTTGCGACTCTATGGAATTTATCTTCTTCATTACTTGCTTAGAATTCGACAGCCATTTTCTCAGGGTGAATCCGCCCTGTTTCATTATTCCCTTTGAGACTTCGTAGAGCTTCATAACTTCTTCGTCATTGTAGACTCCTGTGTTAACATCATCGGCATATAGAGAACTCAGGACTCGTTCACATATCTCCGGGTATTCATCAGAGTATTCTTCTATGTGCTTTTAAGGTGGCATTCAGAAGGAAAGGGCTACTTGACACTCCGAAAACTACTCTTGCGAAGCGATAAATAATCATTTGTGATGATGGATCATTCACGTCTTCCAGCCATAAGAACCGTAATGCATTTCTGTCTGGGGGCCACACAGAAATCATGAGAAATGCCTTTCTCTATGTCTGCTGTCAATGCTACAGGGAACAGTCTAAATCTTGCGACAATTTCGGCTACCGTCTTTAAGAGGCAAGGTCCTGTGTATAGGCAACTGTTCAGTGACGTGCCGTTTCGATCTTTGGCTGATGCGTCATACACAATACGCACCTTCGTCGTCTTCTTGTCTTTGCGGACTACCGGGTGATGAGGCAAATATGTCACCTGGCCAGTTTGAACTTTTTTGTCTGGATCGACCCTTTCTATGATTCCAAGTGCCTCTTGCTCTTTGATAATATTCCTGTATTCATTCAGAAGTAGTGGATTCGACATTAGTTTCGATATCGTTGTTTGTAGCCATTTTTTGCTCAAAGAGTAGTTGTCTGGTAGCAGTGGGTGATCTTGTTTCCATGGCAACTTCACTTTGTACCTGCCCTCAAGAAATTGAACTTCATCTTCAAAGGTATGGAACAAGTTCGACTCATCCTTTAAGATGCCAATGAACTCCAGATCCCAGAATTTCATTACCTGCCTTTCTGTGTTCGCTTTTTCAGAAACGATGTCCGTGGTTAGTCGTAGAACATGTGTATCAGCTAGGTTGGCTTGAGTCGAATCGTCTGGGAGAGAATTATGCACTTGGCCTGACAATACCCAGCCAAGGCTAGATTCCAAAGCGACTGGTCCTGGCCTTCCTCTTATTGCTCTCCCTGACATGAAATGCCAATAGAAGTTTGATCCAATCAAGATTTCACAATTCAATTCATCTTTGTGTTCGGCTGGATAGTCGGCATACCAAAGGCCACCAAGATTTGGGTAGTTATTCGCAGCAAAATTGATAGCCTGATTACTGATAGGCGCGCATACGACAGGAATTACATAAGCATTAACGTAGGTAGACAATTCATTGTAAGGACTGCGCACGCAAAACTGAACGACCTCGCAAGTACGCACAGTGCCCTCCGTATCACCAAATGTCTTAATCGTTAATGTTTCTTTCCCTACGATTGGAAGCGAGAGTGTTTCTTTCAATGCTTCAGATATGTACGAGTGTTTACTCCCCGAATCAAAAATGAAACGCGCAACGGCTGTCTTACAAGGGCCCTGAGCCGCTGAAATGTGAGCTTTTGCTGTTTGCAGCAATACGGAATCCTTCGTACCAACATGCATGGTCATGGTAGAATTTGACCCAGACGTATTTGATCGAAATTCGCTATTTACAGGGGTTGATGAGTGAGATGGATTACTCTGCCACTGTACGGGATTAGCAAGCACCCTAGGTTGGCTCCCAGTAACTGCAAGTGTGAAGGTGGCGATTTCGCAAATGCTAGCATGATGGCGTTGTTTACAAATGTGGCAAGAAATGTTGCTCTTACAATCCTTGGAAATATGACCCCTTTTCAGGCAAACAAAACAACGTCCAGAAGAAAACGACTCGAAACTTCTAGAACGCTGGCATCCTGCTGCGACTATGAACGTATTGATAGAAAACAATGAATATATTAGACATGCTGAGTAGACACTTAATAAAAAAGAACAATAAGCTTCGTAATGAACTAATTATAGAAATGTTGCGTCATTCCTTTGTATTTCGTAAAGCGGCATTCCTTTGTAACTGCTTGACCTATTAATTCCCGTGATTTCTTGTTTATTCTGGAACTTTCCATTTAAAATGTATAAAAGTAGCATTTGTACGATTTGAGGAGTAGTATTAGTTAGTTCGATAGTTAGTCTTTACGCTCTTCGACGAGAGACGATTATTATTAAGACTTATTATTGCTCTCATAATCGGAGAGTTATTTTTTATGATCAATCTTCGGATCATAATTTGGTAGCAGAGGGTAGTTGAGTTCAAGTCGTTAATGATAATCATTAGAGGAAAATGGCTGGAAAAAAGAAGGGCCGTAAAGAGAAGAATAAAGAATTAGAGGAAGACGAACAATCAATGAATTTTCGAGCTGAAATATCGAAACTGAAAAGGAAGAAAGCTGTGGAAAAATCATCGTTCACTCGCATCAAGCATCAACTAATCGAGTCCATTGCCGAAGATGAGTTATCTAGTCAAAATGAAGTACGAAGCCTGAGAGCAAAGTTGTCTGATCAACAAGAACAGGTAATCAACGTGCTTGTTGAACTCAATACGAAAAATTTAATGATAATGAGAATGTAGAACTCATCAACAACGAGATTGAAGAGATTAATAACGAATTTGAAAAAATTATGAAAGATGCAAATGGGTATCTCGCAAGTCACAAAGGAGATGGATCCAGCATTGGGACAAGAGTGTCAAGTAAGATGAGTCAGCTCTACGTCAGTGAAGCTAGAGCCCGTGAACAAGAAAAACGTGTTAGAGAAGAGCTCCAGGCTAAGGAACATATAGTGCGACAAGAGCAACAACAATTGGAAGAAAAATACAGAGCTGAAAAGACCAGGCTAGAACAAGAACTGGCTGTAGAAAATTATCCTGCCACAGGATCGCAATTCGGGGTCGGAGACAGAGAGGTGACAATTATCTGACACTCCCTCTCCAACGCTGACAAGTTAGAATCACCAAAAGGTTCAAAATTAAGGATCCATAGATTCAAATTCGATAAAAGAGGACTGTATATAAGTTAAACTAAATAGATCGATAATACTCTAACTCGTAAATATCAAGAAAACAAGAAACCATCAATAAAATAGAAAAATATTTAAGGAATTAAGGAACTAAACCCAATCAGAATAAAATCGAAACAATGTCACCTGAATATATATACAATACGGTTCAAGAGTTCTTGGGTTTCTCTTTGCCTTTATGATCATCAGAATAGAATGTTCCTTTTTCAACGTCCGTGCGTCCTTCCTTCCAGATCCAGAGACAATCCAACAACAACCAAAAACACCACCCATCACAACTCGTCAACAATATCACGTGACAACAACAAAATCAAAGAAGATCGGGGGGCAACAACCACTTTTTCCCACATTCCCCCCCTTGGCCAGCTAGTCCTTTAGTCGAATTGCTCTTTTTGAAGCTGGTCAATGATGTTCCATCTTTCTCGTGCCATAATGGCTGCTGTACGCTTAGGCCTGATTGATTTGTTATCTGCAGAATCGGGTAGTCCTTCTGCTTCCGGATTTGTAGAGACATTTCCAGACTCTGGCGTACTTAGTTCAAGTGGGTAGAGCTTCTGAATAGGCCTTTCGATTCGATTCAGGTTCGCCATTCGCAGCTTTGCACCTCTAACAACGTTATCCTTTCCCGTTATAAGCTCCTCGATGCAACCAAGTTTCCAAAAATTACGATTCCTCTGATTCTCGTCTTCGACCAACACAATGTCTCCTTTCTTCACGGTGTGTGACAATGGCGTCCCTTTCGCCGTGAGATGTCGTTCACGCAAGTTTATCAAATATTCATGTTTCCATCTCTTCAGATAGTGAAGTAAAACCTTTGATAAGTAAGCTGCACGTTTTTGCACCGTGTCACGAGTTTCATTGAAGTCACGTTCTTCAGGCTTGTCTGGCGTCATTAATGGTAGCTGCAACAATCTTTTTCCTAAGATGAGATGTGAAGATGTCAAAGGCTGCTCTAGATCATCAGGGTACTGATAAGTGAGAGGTCTAGAGTTCAGTACGCCTTCAATTTCTACGATAGCGGTGTGCAACTCATCGTATGACAGTAACGCGGATCCGACGGA